CAGACAGATATGGTAACCCTACATAAACATGCCCTAGACTAGAGGTGAGCTACTTTTCTTGGAGCAACAGACCATTTTTCTTGGCGATGACTCTGAAAGAAGCAGCCAGTAGACCCAAATCATATTAGCATGCAAGTTATCCTTTTCAGCATTTTTGAATGCCACAGATGAGAAATATTTAACAGATGATGTTAAATGTTTGAATTCTTCTTTATCAATCTGAATTGGATTAACATTTATAAAAAAAAAATGGCAAAAGGCTACTCAAAACAGATGCTCCATAGTTTGCTGCCCAGTTGCAATCAAGAGATGGCGAGTGGCCTGCAAATAAGCAATTCATGGCTTCTATCCAGCTGCTGGTCATTCGTCTCCTAAAAGGGTAAAAATCTACAGATGGCATTTTTCCTACTGGGGAAAGTATATGCTGGAGGGTCTTTTTTTCCACCAATGTTGTTCCTTCACCTAAGGAATGTATTGTATTTAGCCAGCAAGCACTAACAGAGTTCAAAGAAGAAAGGGGAAATTTGTCATACCCTATTAAGAAGGGACAAAAATCACCCTCTGGCTTTCCAGTTAATTAAATACACCAGGGCAGGGAGGGGAGAAACCCATTCATTTGAGAGGTCTGGATTTTCCTCCTGCTGTTTCATCATTGCATTGGCCAAGAACTGGAATATTTCTAAGTACTGTAAGGAATTGCTCTTCTATTGCCTTCAGCTGAAATGGGAGAGACCCTTCTGGTCTAGAAATAGAGGAAGGTATGAAACAGTTCACATTAGAGTAAATCCACAGAAATCATTCCAAAAAGGATTTTAAACATCTGACTTAAGAAATGAAAATGCTTATTTTTTTAAAAAAGAGAAATAAATATTGTCAAGTTACACCATCAGCAAAAGAATATGAAACTGCTGCAGGGGTAAATATATTCCAGACTGATCCTTAAAAATGATATTTGCAATCCAGTATAGAATTAAGAGTTGGCAATGGATCTTGAATGAAGCAGGGCATAGCCATCTTGTTTCATTAAATCTGCCCACCCACCAAGCTGTAGGCAGTTTACAAGACTTATGTAGTAAAAATGGAATACAAAATCAGAATACTAATTAACTGGAAGGAAAAGGATGAGATCATGAAATTATGGAAAATGGTGACTCCAAGTACATTAATCTTAAAATGCCCTTTGGAAGAACCTCATTTCCATCTGCTTCCAGGACGTCTTAAGGAGAAAGACACTTAGGCTCTACGCACAAGCCATTGTAGAAGAGAGACATTGCTACAGAGGACAATGTCATTAGGGCACCTCATAATGGGCAGAAGCTATTGAGGGGAAGGTGTTCCTAATATATCCATGCCATACAGGGCTTCATAAGTAGTGACCAATACTTTGAACTGCACTTAGAAATCTATTTGTAACTATGCAGCTCTATGGCAGTCCCAATGACCACTGAGAATGCATGCCACTGCGTTCTGAACCTTTGAAGTTTTTGATTAATCTTCCAGGACAGCCCCCTATGGAGTGCATTACAGTAAGCTCATTGGGAAGGAACAAAGGTATGAGCAACAACCTTCAGTGCATTGTGTTTCAAGTAAGGGTACAGTTGGTACACCAGCTGAAACTCTACAAAAGATCTCCAGGACTCATGAGTCCAAGAGAACCTCCAGATGCAAGTCCGCTTTAAGGAGTATAACCCCGTCAAGAGCTATAGAAGGTACACTGCTGAAATCAATTGTCCTCTGCATTAACAACCACTCTACCTTTTTTGGGTTGTGCCTGAGCCTGTTTTCCCTTATTCAGACTCCAGACACTAGGCTGTGACTTTCACTACATCTCCCAATAATTCCAGAGTAGAGATATGTACCATCTGCATATTAAAGACACATCACCCCTCACACCAGCAGAAGATCTTTTCCAGCAGTTTTGTTGAAAAAAGTGATTTAGAGTCTGATCTCTTCCTCCCTTCCCCTCATGTTCTCTGGTCCAACCTATTCAGAAAGGAACCATTGTAATATCATACTGTGGTGACCCGGGGCATGGCACAAAGGCAACACAGTCAGATAATAAGTAGGAGTTCCTTTATTTTACTTTATTGTTCCAACTTTGCTCCCATTGTCCTGGTTACCTTCTGGTCTGGAGAAAAACTCTCCCAGAAACTGCCTCTGGTTACAGAGATTCAAGTCCAAAACATTGTCAACAGATACTTTAACTATAAGTCCAATTAAGGCAAGATGAGGTAATTACTTAGGCAAGGCAAGATAAGGAGTTCCAGAAGTGAAGGAATGGCAGTAAATCAGCCCAGTTGGGAGGATGCTAGGAATGCAGATAACCACAGTCAACACAAGATAAACTCACATTTGTTACCAGAAAACGCCACTCTCAGCTGCCTCTCCTTTAAATTCTGTTCCCAAGTGTGCCTAATGAAGAGAATCAGGGCCCTTTCCTCCCCCATAAGCCACACAACCCACATTGCTCTCTTCTCTGTTCTTCCCTGCATGCCCTAGGATGAAGAGGGGGTGGGCCTTGGTCTTCCCAGCCAGACTTCGCCCTTCCCCAGTTTTCTCCACAGCCAATGGAGCCACACTCCCACTTCCTGTCAGCTGTTTGTCTTTCTCCTTGGATTCAGACTCCGACAGGGGCATGACACATACTTCCAACTCCCAACCTTTGCAAGTGTTCCAGAAAGATACTGTGGTCAACAATAATGAATGCTTCTGAAAGAACTTGGTGCACAATGACACTCATACAACCTCCATCCAAGCATTTCCATAGGTCATCCATGAAAACAAACAATTGAGTTTCTTTCCCATGCCCAGGTCTGAACCCATATTACCAAGGTTCAGTTAATCCATGTCCTCTACAGTTGAAGCCCTACCAGTTTCTCCATTATCTTCCGCAAAGGATGGGTTAGTTATATGATAATCATTGTCCAATTCTGTTGAATTCAGGTCCAGGCTTGAAATCTTAAGATGAGAGTAAACCAATGCCCCTCTAAAGACTTCTTGAATCTCTCTCTTTCTCTCAAAAAAGTACTGACCACAACCCAGATCCAATTCCCACTACCATCCTGGCTATTTATTAGTTTCCATTTATTTTTAAAAAGTATATAGCCACTTATCTTGTGCAACATAATCTAGGGCAGCTAGAAAACAATAAAAACACAATAGAAAATATACAAGACCAACATAAAACCTCTATATTCCCTCAATCACAACACATTCCCACATATCCACAAGGAACTTTTCTGGGTCCCAGCCTCATATTATCCCAATGCTTTGTCAGGCTCATGGCAAGAGAGAAGACAGTGGGATCCAATCAAGTCCAACCTTTTATTTGCTAATAAAGGACAGAAGCTTGCCAAATTGACAGAAACTTGCCAAACTAAAGCTATATTTTTTTTTACCTACTATTTATATCCTGAGAGATTCTAGGGCAAGGGTCTTCAAACTTGGCAAGTTTAAGACTTGTGGACTTCAACACCCAGAATTCCTGAGCTAACATGACTGGAGGAGGAATTCTGGGCATTGAAGTCCACAAGTCTTAAAGCTGTCAAGTTTGAAGACCCCTGTTCTGGGGTGTGGCTCCCTGGAACTTGTTCTCCTCTCTGTCTTCCAGCCAGAACTGCATAGTCTCTTAACCTGGGCCTCTTTCTTGAACGCTCTATGTAGCCAAAAGTCTCTCCCACTCCCCCTACAAATGCACATTTTATCACAACCTTGTTGGAAATAATAAGTCTTTAAGGCTTTTCTGAATGTTGGAAAGTAGCAGCCTGCTAGATTTCAGGGCGTTAGCCAGGAGAAGCATGGAACCAATCCAGACATGATGGAGTTCAGATCACATATGAGATTGTCTACTTCTTCAGGATCCACAGCTCAAAAGCGTCCCAAATATCACTATAAGATGATTCTGTCATCTCAACAGATTCTTTCCATTTAGCTTCCAGCTTGGAGGATTTTACCTAGAAATGCTTTGCCAGGTGATCATAACTGCCCTAATCATGCTTTGTCTCCTTATTTATACATGAAGCCATAGCATTTTGTTTAAAATCTTTCAGCAATATTCTGTGCTCTCATTTGTCAGTGTAAAATATTAACTAACAACTGGTTACCACGGTGTTCCTACAAGCCATGGTGGCTTCTATGAATACCATCACTAATAACACAATTCATCATCCATATATTATATGTGTCAATTATTATAATGATAATAAATTCTAAAATGATATAATTATATACATATAAAAGAACCACCTCCTTAACCTCTATAGTAGCTTAACAGGTGGAATTTTTTGTGTGTATGTTCAAGTCAGATTCAATTTTCAGTCACTACATAGAGTTTCCTTGGCAACATTTTATTGAAAATGGCATCATATTGCTTTCTTTCTAGGGCTGGGAGATAATCAGAGAGATGGTATTCAGCAGGTTCTGACCAGTTCTGGAGAACCAGTAGTGGAAATTTTGAGTAGTTCAGAGAACCAGCAAATACCACCTCTGACTGGCCCAGCCCCCATCTATTCTCTGCCTCCTGAGTCCCAGATGATTGGCTGCGTCTTCTTTTGTTGCCCTGCACAGGAGAACCTAGCTGGAAAGCAGGTTAGTGCTGTGGGGAGGGAATGGGAATTTGCAGTAACCTTCCCCCTGGAGTGGAGAGGGAATGAGGATTTTACAGTATCCTTCTCCTGCCATGCTCACCAAGCTATGCCCACCAAGCCACACCCACCAAGCCACACCCACAGAACTGGTAATGAATTTGTTTGAATCCCACCACTGGTGATAATGCCCGGCCCAAAGCCTCATCCAGCTGGTTTTGTGCTTAAGATGGGACTACAACTCACAATCTATTTCTCGCCTGACACCTTAACAGCTACACTAAACTAGTCTCGGCAGAGAGGGCATTGCTAATATAACTAGACCAAGTCCAGTTGCCTCTTCTGTGTTGTGGTACAAAAAAATGATGCACAATGTCTTTCATGACCCGAATATGTAATTGAAAGGCCCTTCCTTACCTTGGGGTCATGTATTCCGGACAATTCTTCATAGATTTTCTCTCCCACCATAACAGCAGCCAGATTAGCAGTGTATGTGGACAGACAAAATAAACAAAAAATGGCCCAGAGATTCATTAGAAACCTTCCCGTCCAGCACTTTGGAGGTTTGATGGCAGTTGTTCTCCCAAACAAGATGGCATAACAGACATTCAACGCAGAGGAAAAGGAGAAAACCTTATCTCTGTTTCTACCCTTTGGGGTCATTCCAAAGGGGCTCTTCCATTCATACAGAGTTAGGAAGATTGCAGTGATGTGTAGAGCTACAAAGATGCCCAGCCACATGGTCCAGTGAAGCGGCCACATAAAGGCTCCAATAGGAGCTGCTGTGTCTTTGGTCCTCACCAGGATGCCCAAACTGGTGGAAAAAAAAGGGCTGGTGAAGTCAATCACTTGGCTACGGGCTGTGTTGATGCTGAAAGATGTCACGGCCATGTGGGCTGTCCCTGCCAGAAGATCACCTACCAGTCCTGTCCACTGGCCATTTTTCAAGCCGCCATATTTCCCATCGCCGACAATATACAGGTCAAAATCAAAGTTGAGATCTTCAGCCAACTTTTCCAACAGATCTATGCAGTAGCCATAGCAACACTGCTTAAATTTGGTGGGTACTGTGTCATTGCCTCCTTGGAGGCTTTCAAAAAGAGCATCCAGCACGGCTGAATCTTTGGTCAAGGGATCCAGGCAGAACTGTCCTGCAGGACACAATCCTTCATCATCCACAGTCCTTGTGAATACAAAGGGATGTTCAATGAGTGTCACCACCCTCAGATGTAGCCTAGTGGGATGCTGGTTGTGATTCTTGTGCCTCTGAGCCTGTTCTGGCCAGATCCCATAATCCATGACAACCTTGCCGTCTTGCCAACTCCCCAAGCGAGTCCACATTGGGTTCCCAACAGGGTCATGTTGCAGATTCCAAATGAAGAATTTGTTTTCTGAACTAATGATGGAAGAACCTTTTACCTTAATGTGGCCACTCTGCCCATGGAACGTAGTGTTGGCTAAAAACCTATAGGGCAAAAGTAAGAAGTTATGAGCAGATATTCAGAGCACAGAACCTTTTAACATCTTTTGGAGCTGGGATCGTTCCCTTCTAACACATTTATGATTTTTCTTCAAAAGTGACAACAAGGCCAGTTCAGATACCTCTTTCAGATGAACAAGATACATGCCTGTGTTTCCACCTGCAGCTCTCATAGCACAATAAGAGGCCTACATTCAAATCCATATTAGGCAAGAAAGTCCCAAGCTTTGGGAACTATATTAACATCTGTATACATTTTGAAGGTCCTGGAATGGAATATGTCTGTCTTGTTCTTTTGTTCACTCAGGGATGAGATTTAGAAAGTTTCTGAGGCAAAATCACAACTTCAAGAGGATTTAGACCCTGAAACAAACTGAAATGCACACATGTTTTGCTTGCTTCATCTAATTATCTTCACCTAGAGTTCCAGCTTAGCTTGGCCTGCCTACTCTTCCTGCCTCTGATGGCATTCGGTATGGACATACAATCAAAATGCAAAAATCCTCATAACCAAGAGAACAAACCAGTTGCATATGTTGTTGGATGAACCTGTTTACCCAAATGCCTTGCCATCTGAGCTATAGACACTGGATGTCTTCTGTGTTTAAAATATTTTTCAAATTACAATGTTAATAAGTTAGTAATTTGTTTGGCCAACAAGTCATCATTTTAAAATATTATATAGACTTGGCTTTGTTTCTACCAGAACAAGACGTATTCTAGCTGTTCCTTTCACTTTAGTTAAAATATAAGAACACCCTTCTCTCCCACGAGCCTTATTTATGGGGATTTCTCAATGAGTTATTGATTTATTTCAGGATGAACAGAAAACTAGGTCCAATTGAACACATTTGCACAAGAGGAAAATGCCAAAGACTGAATGGAGATGAATGTAACCATCTGTGGAGCTGTCATTCATGGTAATTTCAGAAGTGGGGGTGGGGGAGTTTACTTATACTTGGAAGTAGCAGAACAGATAAATGGAAAGTTGGGTTAAAATTTCCCGTTGAAGGAGCACTTTTGTATCCAAAGTACATTTAGTCAGCTTCTTTATTTGTATTTGTCATAAAGTTATTCCAATGAAATTCATGAATGCTGTTTGCTGTTGAGTATGAGCAGATTTTTAATGTATGTAAATGTTTCTCTTTCTGCATATACATATTTCTCCTGAATTGTTTTGATTCCCTAATTTGGTGAAATGATCTTTATTAAGATGAGATTTCTTCTTTCACTTGCTGGCATTTCTTCTCTATATCTAGCATTATTTCTTACTTTAGGTGAGTGTGTTTGGGGGGTATCCATTTATTTTTCCACTCTGCACACAAAGGCTGCATTCTGGCATTCATTTGCAGGGTCTCTGAACAGCCTCAGGCAACAAGTATTCCTCAACTTACAACAGTTCCTTTAGTGAATGTTCAAAGTTACAATGGACTTATGACCGTTTTTCACACTTACAACTGATGTAGCATCCCTATGGTCATGTAATCAAAATTCAGACACAACTGACACATATTTATGATGGTTGAAGTGTCCTGGGGTCATAGGATCCCCTTTTGTGACCTTCTGACAAGCAAAGTCAATGGGCAAGCCAGATTTACTTAAATGTTACTGTTCTGACCCACGCCCTTTTCTGACAAATCAAACACAATCCAAAAGGAACAAAAAACCTTGTAATGCTTTTACAAAATAATTAGCTGTGATAAGCACAAGCCTTGCCAAACTGTGCGAGGCTTGCCAAAAGATAACAGACAAGAAATAATTTGCAAGACAAAAATGTTCAAATACAAACTCAGGATACTGGAATGTACACGAGGCTATAGTTTCAAAACGTCTTTGCCTTCTGCAAAGTATGTTCATTTCACAGCTGGCTTTTATCTTCTTGAAGGAGGGGCCATTACCTTGCAGCTTTACTCCCGAGTCACCCATGCTGTTGTAACTGCTCTTTCCTATGAGCAATCCTGCGCGCATGCACACTTGGCACAGGCTCCTCGGGAACCTCCTCATCACTGCTGCCAGCCCCCACAATCTCTGAAGGCAACAGTCCACTCCCTAATGGTCCTGGCCCCTCATCTGAGTCCTCGCTCTCCTCAGCCATCTGCACCTGCTGCCAGCTAACCACAACAGTTACTGACTTAAGAACTGCGGTGATTCACCTGACAACTGTGAAATGGAGCAAAATTCATTTAACAACTATCTCACTTAGCAACATAAATTTTGGGCTCACGTGTGGTCATAAGCTGAGGACTACTTATACACACAGTTGCAGGTGAATGGAGGAAAGCTGTGTGCTGGGATAGTATGAGGAGTGAACCCAATCCCACTCCCTTTCAACATGAAATGATTGTTTGCAATGAGGTAGAGTTACTTCTAATCATGTCTTCCTGAAAATGTGAACTTCTATGATGTGCATTTGTCATGTTCCTACTGAATGCTGTCAGTGTATCAATTCAATTTAGCTATGTGTCTAAAAGTATTGCATGTGGTCATTCATGGTTATAAGCTCATTACCCTTGCCGTTTTTTGTGGGAGGTGAAATATTGACGATTCAAAAGGATCACAGTAATAAATTTTCACTGGTAGGCTAATTAAATTGTTCTGTACTCATTAGCCTGGTAACTTGGTAATTCTGTCTTTATCTCCCAAAGTTTAGTTGAGAATGAGAAAAAAACGAGAATGGGCAGTGAGTCAAATCGCATATGGGGCTTTAATTACTCAAATGGCATAATTAAAATGCCATCATTTACAGACTAGATGGGGTTTATAAATCCTAACGCTTCTTACCCTGTAACCAGGGCAATCATAAGATTAGGAATTAACACAGTAGAAACTTTCTCAATGCAAGATTTCTACAGTATGTTCTCTGCTACAGAAGCACAACACAAAGGAAGTCATTTGAGTATTTGGAGAGATCCTATATATCTGCGAATTGAATAGGACCAATTTTTAAGCCACAGGAGATGTTTATTGTCCTCCTATTGACCCCACCCCTTTCCTAAGAGGTCTGTAGGGGGCGTGCATAAGCGCACCAACGTGCCTACTGTCCCCGTCCTATTGGTTGTTTTTTTAAATTTTTCTGATATGTATCCATTTCATGTATTCATAACTATGTTTATACTTATACCTGTTATCTTATAATCGCTTGACAAATAAATAAATAAAAAATACCAGTGTCCCTTTGATAGCTCTCACCCACAGAATGGGTGAACAAGAAACTTCTCCTCACTTGCTCTGTTGTAACAGAAAATTTATATTGCACAAAGTCTGCATACTTCGTGGCAGTTTCAACTCCTTAGTTTGCTAGAATCATCACTTTCTAATCCACCTAATAGCAGGATTTTGCAGATGGATTATAAAACTCTTAAAATGAAACACAGGATAAATCTTGATGCTTGCTTACCAGGCAGGCAGGGCGTCAAACACATTACAATGTACTGCAGGTCAGTTTATTCCAATTTGATGACTATTAGATTTTGGTAGTGCCTTCAGTGTCTTTCATTGGCAGCAGAATACACAATGGATGGACTTGCCTTCTGCAGAAAGGTCAGCCCTTTTGTACCCTCAAAACAGCTGCATTATAATTGTCAGATCTGCCATCTCGCCACTTCAGCCCTACTCCGCTTTGATGGCAGCCTGCCATAAATCCCAGGGAGGGGAGGGGAAGAGGAGTTATAGGGAGGGGGGATGATAGGAAACAGGAACCAAGAGCCCACCAGAGACATTGGTTGAGAGATCCAAGGACACAGGCATGGGAAAGGAATGCAACTGCCGATCAAAGAGATGCCAAACCTCAGAATTATTAGCAAAATAACTAATTTGTACTTTATTGGACAACAGAGAGATGACTAGCGGGGAGGGTTCAGGACAGGGGAAAAGTAATCTCGGTTACACGGCAATCTTCAGATCTGGTTTTCGAATGCTTGGCTTTACAAATGGAGTTGAGGGTTTTTCTTTCCTAAACATCCAAGCTGACAGACAGACCTGACATTAGACTTTAGAAACACAGTAATCATTGCAGCATTGCATCTGCAGTTAATCAGGATTTTTTTTTTAATAAAATAGGCCTCCTTTAAGTTGGGGAGTGAAGCCAACATAAAAAATTCCATATGGATTTTTTTTAACTGATCAGACTTTAGTTTTGCAGAACAAACCTTTCCTAGCTTGATCTTCAGCAGTGCCTTTATAATAATAATCAGTGCCTTTATGATAATAATCATAAAGACTTCCCAAATCTACTGCCCTCTACTCATGTAGTCTTTGCTATGAAAGTTATAGTTCATTAGAAATACATTTTACTTTAAAGTTATTTTTTAATGAAAAAAGGATGATTTCCCTCCCTTTAAACAAATTAAAGATATAGAGTCGCTAAAGTTGAAGAATCCAGAAAAGACAAAAATAGACTGAATGGGGATTAATCACCGGCTGCTTCTGTTCTCTAAATCAGCTCTGGCCCCATGCCACTTGTTAGATCAGCTTCCCCAACCTGGGAATTAGGATAGGATAATTTAAACTCCCTGAATTCTTTGCCACAGAAATTCTGGAGTTAGAGTCTAGCCACCCAGTAGTAGTAAAGTGGATGGAAAAAAATACAGAGGTGGTGAGTGTACCATTGGAAGATATAATATAACAGATTGGGGATAGACCGTCATGGAGAAAAATCTGATTTGACCCTTGAGTTTTGTATGAGATATTCATATTTACAATGACATTTATTGAAGAGAGATCTCTTACTTTGATAAATACTGGCCTGATGTGAGATTTTTTTCCTCTGTGCTCAAGCAGTTGGTTGTACTTGGAATCAATGCCAGTTCTGGTTGGATAATTGTAGCTGAAGCAACTGCTCTAGCTACCAGCTCCATTGCATCCTGCACATAATCTTCAAAAAAAGATTGTGTTGTTTTCCCATGAGCTATAAGACCTAATGGCAAACCTTCTGTCCTCAGCTCTTCCACATTGTGCGAATCCCCAAGAATCCAATGAAGTTCAGGCGGCATAACCCCAAATTGTGTCGTTATCTCAAAAACCCTCCTTGTGCTTTCCATGTCACATCCAAACATCACCACTGTTGAAGTTGTATCCTTAATGTTCTCCAGATGAAACTGCAGATAGGTCAAGAGGTCACTGGCTGATGTGAGGTTTCCTGTGATATTTATAATGGATCCCAAATAAAATTTGGAGCTCTGCTGAGTAAGGAAGAGAAAATCTGTGATGTTCCACTCTTCCTGGCACACCATCAAACTAAAATTATACCAGTTGTTCAAGGCCAAGATTGAAAAAATGACATCAGCGTCAAAACTCAGGGAACGTTCTAAACTCAACTGCAGGTGCAGGGGATTCTGTAAGATAAGAAAAAATATTGGTTAGAGAGTCTTAACTGGAAAGATATTCAGATTTTTTGTGCAGTGAGGTTAAGTATGCCAACTCTGTTACTGGAATACATCCTTAAATTATGAAAACGTAAAAAATGAATCTGATTCATCTTAGAATGCTAGGTAGAAGCAACTCCCACAGAACCTATTTGCAGATACATTCCCGTTATGCAACCTAGAAATGTATCTACTCAAAAGTAAATATTCTGAAATTCAGCAGGACTTATTCTGAAGTAAGTGTAGATAGGATACCAGCCATAGTCCCTGAATTTCCAGCATTTAAATCTCCAGCAATAATACTCCCAAAAATTTATAATGAGCCAGTGATGCCTTTCCTGAAGGATGGTAAGAGAAACTCAAATCCAATTCCTCTTGCTCTTACTGACCCTTATTTGTGTGTTAAGTATTCAGAATCTTTTTATAAAAGCAGGGAGGCAAGCTCATTTAATGCATATGAGATAACACTATTTAAATCAATAAACACCTTGTAATGTCTGTTAGAGTCCTGAACAACTGGATTAAAAGTGGTGATGGCCATGAATTCTACAAGATTATCATGTACCCTTGACTGCAATGCAGTGATTAAAAAAAATCTTTTTGTGCTTTTGGCTCATTGACTCATGGGGAGAGCATGGATTATTCGCTACAGTTTTCTTGGCAAGGTTTTTTGGAAGTGGTTTGCCACTTCCTCCTTCCTAGGGCTGAGGGAGAATACCTGGCCCAAGGTTACCCAGATAGCTTTGGGTAGGACTAGAACTCGAAGATTTTAGCCTGGTGTCTTAACCAAAATGCTAAATTGGCTCTCATTGCAGTGACACATTCCATTAAAAGAAACTATCATTCATCTAATTAGCATTTGTGGAAACTTGGCTTTGAAAAGTCAACACCAATACAAGGATTTGGATGCTGTCAGCTAGAAATCCTTAGTATGCCTCTGAGGTTTTGGTCAATATTTCAAAGGAACAGAAGTACTTGGACATTGGAAGGTAGTGGCCATTTTCTGTTATCACTGCACTAAATTCTGTACAACTTCTAATGGAACTTATAACTCAGATCCATACGCATAGGTCCAAATTCTAGGCTTCTTCCAATCAACTAGACAGGTAACCTGGTGGTTTTGAGAGGATAAGATAGGTTTACATAAAAGCATTTTTAACCTGGCAAACTTTGATTCTTCCCTTAACAACCTTGGCTCTTATCTCATTATTGTTTACTCATAAGCAAGTCCCATTAAATGTAATGAGTTGGCTATGAGTAAATCCCACTGAACTCTGTGTTTTGAGGACTGAACCAGTGGTTGTACATTACCCGTTTGGACTGGTTCGGCCGAACCGGTAGTAAAAAAAGCCAGGGAAAAAAAATCCTCCGACAATCAGCTGAGAGGAAACTGAAGAGAAAAGCACAGGATCGGCCCTCCCAACCGCCTCCTGTGCTTTTCTCTTCTTTATCCTCTCAGCTGATTGGTGCTGCAGGTCTCAGCTGGTGTGGGGAAAGCTTGCACACTGGGGTTAGGCAAACCACGCCCACCAATTCACGCCCACCAAACTGGTGGTAAAACAATTTGAATCCCACCACTGGCTTGTCTGTGAAATTGTTACCTCTGATATCAAAGCAGTAGCTTAGTTTGGATTTATTTAGCGTGTGGCATATAATTAATGTACTAGCAATATATGTTCACATTTCATTTAGATTAATAACACACAATAAAATATGAATGTTAAAAATATATGTTGAAATACCAATGTGTAGGCCATCTAACCATTGAAACTCAGCATTGTATATATGTGTGTGTGTGTGTGTGTGTGTGTGTGTGTATGGTATTCAGCTTTGTTCGGGTATTTTCCCACGTCATTGTAGTTCTGCTTTTAAAGTTGTAGCAACGTTTCGGCAGAATCTCATCTGATCATCAGGCTTCTGTATTGTGTTCGTCTGTGAGTCAGACTTTCACAGCCGTTGACTGACTCACAGACGAACACAATACAGAAGCCTGATGATGGCAGATGAGAGTCTGCCGAAATGTTGCTACAACTTTAAAAGCACAACTATAATGATGTGGGAAAATACCTGAACAAAGCTGAATACCATACATGTAAGTACCCGTGAAAACTTAAGAAAACACACACACACACACACACACACACACACATGTAATAAACCTAAACAATTTCCTAGCACAACTAAACAGCAGACACCCCAAAATCAAATTCACCATGGAAACGGAAACAAACAAACAACTACCATTCCTAGATGTACTAATCTACAAAAAAACAGATGGCACACTAGGACACACCATATACCAGAAGAAAACACACACCAACCGCTACCTCAACGCCCAATCCCATCACCACCCAGCACAGATAAAGTCTGTGGCCAAAACACTAATTGCCAGAACCAAACGCTTGGCAGACAAGACACATATAAAGACTGAACTAGGCACCCTGACCAAGTACTGACACTCAACGGCTTCCACAAAAGCAAAATCACAGGCCTGATCCACAAAAACACACTGAGACATAATAGAGACCTAGAAGATGAAGAGACCTATGGAACAGCTGTCCTGCCCTACATAAGAGGTACAACAGACAAAATCAGTAAGATACCACACAGGCATCACATCAAGACTGCCTTCAATACAGACAGAAAAATAGCAGCCATCCTAAGAAACCCCAAAGATAAAATTGACCTGGAAAACCAAGGCATATATGAAGTCCCCTGTGCATCATGCCCTGCCACATACATTGGACAGACCAATAGAAGAATTAGTACCCGCCTAGATGAACACAAAAATACAGTAAAAAAGCTGGAACACACTTCCTCACTAGTCCAACACATGAAAGCCACAGGTCATAGCATCAACTTCAATGGCACCAAAACCCTAGCCACCATAGAAAACCCCAGCTATAGAATCATCAGAGAAGTCATAGAGATTGAAAAAGGACCTGAAAGCATGAATAGAAGAGATGACTCCACCAGACTGTCAATTGTATGGAAGCCTGCACTCACAAACAAAAAAATATCCACACCACAAGCCAAACAAACACCTGGGCACAAACAGACCCCCCCCCGATACTTCCAACCCAAACACACCCCAGCCAGCCACCCAGATGAAACCTGGCTTCCTAATAAACGTACCTGGCCATTCACCCAAAGCCAAGCCATGCTAAAAGCCCCCAATACAGGAAACACAATGTTGCCAGCTAATCAAGACAAAAAACTGCTACAAAACAGACCGAAGATATTAGAAACACCAATCAAGCAGAACAAAGCAAACTGCAAGGCCAATAAACACAGACCAAGACTCCGAACCAATCAGGATGAAGAAAAAACCATTCTAACACAGCTGTAGGCTAGCCCCAAATTTAAAACTGAAACAGCTGTGAAAGTCTGACTCACAGACAAACACAATACAGAAGCCTGATGATGGCAGATGAGATTCTACAACTTTAAAAGCACAACTAAAATACCCATGAAAACTTAAGAAAACACACACACACACACACACACACACACACACACACACACACACAATGTTTGAACATGTTTGCTTAGTTTGGAATTATCACAGAAGATAGTATTGTGATTTTGTTTACTGCATAACAAATCAAGCCCATCTAAACTAAATGCTGTGAACTGTTATTCTCTTTTGAAAATGTTTCTTTTATTTTTCTGATATCGACAGAGAATGGGATGGCCGTCCCATTCAGCTCTACCTAAATGATTCAATGATTAAAGATCAAAAGTGAATATCAACTAGAATTAAAATGTATGTAGAGAGCGGGTTATCAAACTCAATTTCATTGAGGGCCGCATCAGGGTTGTGTTTGACCTCAGGGGGGCCTAGCCAAATTGACATCACTCATGTTGGAGGTGCCTGTGGTGGATTAGGGTTAGGGTGATATAAATAGGGTGCTTCCAGTGATATAAATAATTTTTTACTCAAATTTATTTCTCCAATTTAATTTTAAGTATGCAGTAACATACAGTATTATTTAATATCTCTGATGGGAGATTTTTTTAAACATTTATTCAGCTCTCCAGTTCAGGTGACTTATAGCAGGAGCTAGCAACTTTATGAGAGATCAGACTATATATAACATCAAAACAAATTTAAAAAGCTCAATTTCTCATGAAATTGCTAATTTCCAGCTATTCCCCCCCCGCAAAGTATCACCCAATCTACTCTGAGAGTGGTATAATTTTATGTAATGTCACAAAAGATTTCCAGAGTATCTTGAAATGTTCCCCATTGTAGTCAGAATCCATTTATAATGTTGATATCCTCATTGAAATCTAATGCAATAACAACCTTACTGAAATCTAATGCAGTAACATCATTACATTTGTTTGTTATTTAACGTTGGGCTGCCATCAATGGTTTTAGGGATGTGATATCCTCATTGAAATTTAATGCAATAACTTCCTCATTGAAACCTAATGCAATGACATCATTACATTTGTTTAATTGTTACTTAACTTTGAGCTGCAATCAACAATTTTAGGAATGTATTGATACCATAGACATGTATCAATACCACAGAATGCTTTTTTCATCCCTGGCCCATGTAAATCTTTGAAGGAGTACTTTGCTTTAAAAAAGATTTATGCAAAGCATCCCTTCAAAGAAACATGGTGAGACATTCCTCTTGATGAGGCATGTTTCACCAAAACTTTGCAACAATTTAGTGTTTCTCAAGATTGTATGTGGCATTATAGTAGGTGGTGATTTCCCACCAGAACTAAGTAATTAGACTTTATCTTAATCCAACATTATAATATAATAGGATAATTCAGATACAGCTATAGCCTCATATAACATGAGCTATCATTATCAAGGAATTTTATTTATTCCCCATGTCACCATTTCGTTCAGGAAGGACTGCAGATCCAATACATGTATCCAATCTACCCAGTTAAAATCTCCCATGTTATTACTTCTCCCTTTTCAAAAGAATCCTCCTTAAAAAAAA